TGCGAAGATACAAGCCAGCGGCTGCACGTTCGAGTGGCAGTGGCTTCAGGACGTCTTCGTGATTTCTGTGCGCATTGGCACCCCTTCAAAAGTGATGATGCTTGTAGATTTTAATGATGCGAGGGAAACTCGGGCCAAAGAGCACCAAATAGAGATTCGAAATTCCCTCCAAATTTTTCGCTGTTCTTCGTCCGAGCGAAAGACGCGTATGCGCCTCACAGCGAGTCCAAAGGGCCAACTGCAGATTACATAGCGCGACCTTTACGTCACGAGGCAAAGGGACACACCGATTGGTGGGAAGTGCGTCCTCCGACTAGTATACGCTTATGAAAGAGATGATGATATCACTGCAGTAACAAACCGTGACGCTTTTCGGGAAAAACTTGAGCCACTGTTTTAATAATCACTGTATAAGTATGCATACCTTGTGAATTCCAGCCCGTCTGATGTATTCACGCTATTACTTACGTATCAACGCTTTTGCTGTATCGTCATCCCTGTATTATTTTTCTTCTTAGTTTTGCATTTGTATATTATGTTAGGTACTTATGTCCGTTGCATTAGCTGCTTTTCTTTTTATTATGTTTGCCACTGTTCCCCCCTTAGTCAATGTCGATTCATGAACCACAAGGTAAAATGAATAAATAAAACTTAGCGGTGACGAGAGGCGTCGAAAATAGTTGGTTTTATGTCTGCGGACGCGATCAATTAGAACATATATCAGCATGTATACCTTTAACTGCAAAATAAAAACAAACAAAACAATGGAAGAGAAATGAAAAGAGAGGCGAAGAAAACTAACAACTCAAACATGAAAACCTTACCTTAAGATACGCACAGCAATGTTCAACGATACGAATGAAAAGCCGGATGGACTTCATTCTAGATTGAAGTAAGCGCGCCGTCATTTTTCGGAAGTGGAAGTTTACCCGAGGCCTTTGCAGTGCAAAGTAGCTCCCCCGTTGTTCAAAATTTCGGAATGTCGACAGTGCGTAACGCTGTGACGATGTCAATGAGGGTGGCGATTTGGGCTTGTTGGTATGGTAGCATTATAATATATGGTAGCGCAGACAAAGGACACGGACAAAAGAAGGCACACTCAAGACAACACAGCGCTAACATAGCGCTGTGTTGTCTTGAATGTGCTTTCTCTTGTCCGTGTTCTTTGTCTGCGCTACCATATAATATCATGCTGTGACGACGTTACGTGCGAAAAAACCACGCATCTCCACGAAGTGAATCCTGACGAGTGGGCGAAGCTCTGGGTATCATTTGTGAGTAACCGTACCTCACCCGAGCGTTGCCCCATATAATGTAAACTGAGTGACATAAAGTATACACAAAAAGGTACATTTCTTTCGCCTTCCAGTCGTCTTAAGTCATTCAAGGAGGATTTAGAAAATTGTTGGAATGGAGAACATGAGTCGAAGAACCCGTCATCTTACCGGTGGCAAGGTAGCATGTTAATAAGGGTAATTTGTTGGGACATATAGTGCTCGACGTGTGCCTCTGTGTTAAAGGTTTCCTTGAGAGGCCTAAACATCTAGGCACATTTTAATAGACATCAAATAATCAATAGTATTCTCAATGTTATTTTTCCCAGTAACAGCGATCTCTTACCTTACCATTAGCCTATGTATACGATAAGGTCTATTGTATTGTATTGCACGTGTCTCACATATGTTTCTATAGCAACAGTTCCATACCGCGACCACGATGGAAGATAAGGCTGGGTTCTAAGAAGCTTTGCCCCTGGAAATATTTTCCGAAGTGCGCGACTGTTGGATAACCTGCAACTCCTCGCCCGGCGTTAAACGACAAAGCCACAGAACATTCGTCCTTCAAAACACTGACATTCGTCCTTCAAAAACAGAACTTACGCAGAACTATGAGGCGCTAGTATGTTTGCTTTATCGCCAGCGAGATGGCGCGAAGGGCGCGCTTTAAAAGTCTTGTGATTTACACGTGAACTAATTCGACAGTCTGTCAGATCTGTCACTGACCTGGAAGCATTAACGACTCAAATGATACCTTGCCGAGTGTATACGTGCATGGTCTGTGGAGGAACCAGTTTAGAAAACACTGCAGCAACGGCGGGAAGAAGTACGATGGACAGGGGCACCACTAAGAAAAGTCGTTTGCTTATGATACGGCCAAGCAGTCACTCCTGAACAAGGGTCTGAAACGGTCTCGAAACATTTGGTCAGTTCTTAGTTTTTAATTTTATACTGAAAGCGGCTGGAGAGTTTATTTTATTCGTATGTATTGTGCTTTCCCCGCAAAGTTTGCATTGGAGTTAGAGAGTGCACGAAGATCACTTAGCTCGCTGCAGCGGCTGCGTTTGCGAAAGCAGCGAGCTGCCAGCTAGAAGAGCCAAAGTAGGGGCAGTTGGCTGCGCATAGTCGACACCGTTGCAGCGCGCTGCTCATACAAAGTAACAACTGTGACAGTTGAAAGTTCGCGATCATCCAGTGTATACTTGCACGCTCGTTTCGCACGTGATTGTACGTTACAAGTGTCGAGCTGCGACAGTTCGCGCTTCGCCTTGTGTGCGTTTTCACGAGGGTGGCTTTTTGTTTTGCGTCCTTTGTGCTTGAGGAGCGCACCGCAAGTTGCCTCTTGTTTGTCATTCTTCGCGTTTCGTTTCAATCTATTGCTATGCAATTCATTGCTATCACGTTTTGGCAAAAGTGTGACTGTATTTTTGAGCACAGGGCTTGCTTTCAGTCAAACCACGAGCGGACACATCGCGTCATCACACGGCGGCCACGGTAACTATGTAGCTCACGACGCCGAGATCGGTCATTGGTCGTAAACTTTGGGTTATATGAGATCATTGAGATGAATCAATGTTTAGTTGTAAGTGAACTAAATATAAATATCCGGCCGCGTGCTGCGGCATAATGATAAGGCTCAGATGTTTTCAGAGCCTCAACTACCGATCGGCCACGTTTTCTCACTGAAAGGGGCAGCACCCCTTTAAAACTTGAAATGAGTAGTAACACGAAATCTTTCCTTTATTGTTTTCCTGCGTAAAATGATAGGCCAAGGCCCCGAGCGAGCAGAAAATGTACCAGTATGCGTGAGTGCACTTTGAAAAATTAGCTACAGCGTGCTATTAAAGAGGCCCCGGAAACACTTTTTCAAGGAACCATGGGATGAATTCACTGGAAGAGCTTATTGCCTCACGAATTCAACGCCGCAAAAATGTTAAGAATTCGTCCAGTGCGAGTGGAGTTACAATTACAGGTTTGTCGCATGCTGCCTTCGCATTCTCTCGTCCCGACGAAAGCACTGGAAGCTAAGCGGGGAGGGATGGCGGGGCCACAGAAAAACGTCACGCGCGCCTCATGACCAAGAGAACGTTCTTCCTTTTTTTTTTCTTCGAATGCGCGGCTTTTTCAGTGTGATCGCGCGCGCACGCGTGGACAAGTAGCGGCCTCCCACTGCGATCTCTGTAACGAGCGAGCACACCATGTTAAAATCAGCCAATGGCTGATAGATGGGCTTACTACGTGTGATTTTGGGGCATATTCCGTGATTTGCCAAAAGAAAAGAAAGCAATTTTTAGCTGACTGACAATTTATTGTGAATTCCAGCCACGTGCTGCGCTATAGTATTTGGCTCGCGTGTTGTCGGGAGCCCCCGATACCAAACGGCAGTGTTTTCTGACCATGCTCAAAAAGTGTTGCAGGGCCCCTTTAAAAGCTAGTTTAGGTTTCTTGTGTACCCTGACGTCATGACATGGTATGAGCAGTGCGTATGTGCACGCGCACGTTTTCATGACGCATCCTTGTCTGTGCGTCACTTCTTCGATCGTCTGCTGCACGCAACACGTGTGGGAACTGTCACAGCAGGGGTGCACTACGTTTGGATGGCATCATTTTCAAGGCGCAGGCTTTTCGTCGACAATCCGAAGTCAGTCAACAACTGCATGTTGAGCGTGTACGCGTCCGGAGTGAGGTGCAGGGAACAGAGTAAACTCCGCTTGGTTGGCGTCCCGTCTCTGCCACGGCTGCCGCGCACGATGTTGACCCACGCTTGACCGGACGGGAATTGGTGCAACTTGCACTTATTAGATGTGAAGCAGCTCTTTGACTCCCGTGTGTAACGCCATACGTACGTGCGTCCGTACGAAACACGGCGCAACGCGTTCCCCTCGCCGCAGGTGATGGAGTGGTGCCAAGTAGATCTCGCCACAGCTGTGCGTTGACGTCACATTTTCCTCGCCGGTGCACGCTGATATCACTCTCTCCCTGACCCGCAGCACTCGCAGCTGTTACTTCAACGTCGCGTGCCTGCGGGAACCTCTCAGCGTGCACTTCACCGATCACAAGGCCGTGGTAGTCGAGGCGAAATGCGCGCTTGTTCCGGTTCCATCTGAAGAAACAACGACTGCGAAGTCTTGCCAAAGGCTATAATGAAACTTACATGAAGCCCAACACGCCTCCCGCGTCATTGCGCTCCAAACAAACGTTTACTCGAGTAAACGCTACAGCGAGTTTCGCTTCAAAGCGTTCTTCCAGCACCCGCGTCAACGCCCGTTTTGACCGGGTCAACACTGTGCGCACTGCTGCTGCTTCGAATCCAATTAGTGTTCTCTTCGGAGAGATGGTCCATAATTTTTGTCCCCCCTTTAACTGGCGCAAAACTTCACAGGACAAAATATTGGCGCCATGACGACAAATTCGAAATCAGATTCATTTGTCCTCTGATCTTGAATTCGCGTGCACGTACACTATTCCGAAAGCGTACACACACTAGCGTACGGAAGCGTACGTACACTATTCTGTGACCTTTCGGAAGACTCCGAAAGCTCACAGGTACGCTGGATGACAGTGACCACACGATCGCACGGCGCGAGCAGACGATCGAGAAGGCGACGCGCAAGCTGCCATTTTTTTCCCCGGGTGCTTCAAATCATCAGAGCTTGCCAGACGGCTGCGTGAAGTCACCAGGATTAGTACTGTAGCCTGACGTCAAGTTAGTGTCGATGTTGGTAGGCGCGCCACGAGAAAATTGACTTTATTTTAAAAGTTAAATATCTTATCAGCAATTGCTGAGCGTCACACTTGCTGAGAGTCGTCTCTGTAACAGGAGATTTGTAAGGCAGTGTGAACTCGCCCCCCTCCAAACGTGTCAGTACCCCTTTAATGGGGTCTAGCCTTGGGCGTTTGATGACGTTTTGGTTAACTTGGACAGACTCTACAGTGAAATAAGACTGTTTTGTTGTGGGCATGTGTCAGAACGCCATAATGGTCGTAATATCCGGAGCCCTTTACAGCGGCGTGGCTCATAATCACATTGTGGTTTCAATACGTAAGAGCCCGCATATTAATAACATTATTGAAGTCAAACAAACGCCCCTTTCGCCCCCACTTCAAGTACTATAGCTAGACCTTCAGCTCTCACGACGCATCGACTTCATAATTAACCGTACCGCACGAATTCGACACCGAGTAGCGTCACGATGATGACGATTAATGCCTGACATGGCGGAAGTAGACACAAGGCTTATTCATTTTTGTATTGACACCTTAAAAAATTTATGGCGCATACGGCAATGTTAGAAATTATTATTTAGGAAGAGCAAACCTGCTGTCACAGTCGACGAGTTTGTGACAAGGTGAATTTTGACTATTTAAGTATGCCCGTTCAGCACATTTCATCTGTCTCTAAAGCTGTGTTTACACGACGAACGTGATAGCGGACGAATCACTCAAGTGACGTCCGATTTGATTCTGAGCCAGCCTTCACACGACATAAGCATGCAACATCTGTAACATCAAAACTAACGTGGCGTGAGAAATTATCGATACAAATGCATTCGCGCTTCGTATATTACAGTCATTGTACATTGAAGCAACATTTCAAAACAGAACAAAAAAAACATATTGTAAAACAGACACGGACTGCAGGGTTAAAAGAACGCGCTTATCCGCAGACACCGTACATAAAGATATATCTGTAAGTTGCTAAATCACGCAGTCATAAATACTAAACCGGAAAAACACTGCTTCCAAACGCTCGATACTGGCGAAAATGTAAAAATCGGGGCACTCACACTGGCGGGTTGAGTTTTCGAGCGTACATCGCAACTTCGGAGATGCCCGTGAGTCTTTGTGTAAACTATAATTATACTCGTAAAACACAGTCCACGGCAAGTTTATAAAGTAATTAAAACACTTTTAAACTAAACAGCCACACCCCATTAAAATTTACGAATACAACCGTACACAAATAAGGACATCGTCATTACTTCTTGCGTTCACAAGTTTGGTCGACAGTGGTTGCACAATGTCTACACTTTATACAACAAAACCCAGCTAGAGCCCTGCTGACAGAATCGCGATACAGTTTCGAAGAGCAGTCGACCAACAAGCCACCCCAAAAAGCTATCGAAAGCCACTGGGCTGGGAGTAAGGCAAAAGCTTGTGTGGTACCATGCAGCTAAACACTCAACGCAGTGAAGGACAAAATGAAAAACAAAAATTTCAGCGACGCTATATAAACGCTGTATAAAATACGTTACCTTTCATTGGTTTAAGTCACAACCGCATGAAAGGCAATGGCGGGCTGCGCATGGTGAGCATATAGAGTCAGCTGCATACAATGAGCTGATGATGGGTCGACATAAATGCACTACCAGTGATCGTCGCTTACAGGCCACCATGTAAACCAGATGTAACCGCCAAGACAGCGTACTGCTAGCGCGCAGAGGAGCGCAGATCTACCACTGTAGTGCACACTGTCTGGTGAGGTGCTACCGGTGTAGAGGCTTAGTCGAGCAGTGCCCCTTCACTGGCGGCTCGGCTGGCTCGCAGGTCGAACGGCCGGAAAGTGTCGCGGAAACAGTCCCGCATTGACACGACGCTAAATGCACTGCGCGACAGGTACCTCTTGGCCACCTGCTGCAAGTGACGACAGGTCCGCTCGGTCTCTGGACACGTCACGCATGGCAGCCCTGCAACGGGTACACATGATGGTAATTGGCATTATGGTAACGGCAATGGACGAATAAATCCACACAATAGAGCTTGAAATGGGCTGTGTTCTGTTGAGAATGAGACAGAACCGTTACGACATGAGACCGCACTTTCCGACGCCGGGAATCGAACCCGGGCCTTCTGGGTGAAAGCCAGATATCCTAGTCACTAGACCACGCCGGAGATGAGAATGAGACAGAAGCTTTCGATCTCCTGCGTGTGGGATAACACGTGGTCGGTCAGGCGGTCAGTCATTCAACCACGTCTGCACTTATTGGATTATTGTAGTAATGGGCTGTATGAAAAAGGCCTGTATGAAAAGAATACGGTGACCTTGAAAGTCACGGTTCGGAACAGGCCACGGCGGTCGCTGTTCGCTGGGGGCGAAGTGCCAAAGGCCCGTGCGCTATACGCCGGTGCACGTAAAAAAAAAAAAAAAAAAACACCAGACGGTCGAAATTCGCGGAGCCCTGCTGCTGCGGCGTGGCTCATTATCATGTGGCGGTTTTGGCACGCCTCACACCCGGAAAATTATATACGAAAACAATAAAATAACTAATAGCCCAGACCTCGGGCTCAGACTGAACTGCTTGCATACCCAGCGGAGAGACCGGAATAGTAGAAGCCTGTTGTGTGATCACCAGGGCTCGCGAGAAACGTACGTGTTACGGAGTACGTCGCCACATTTTTTTTTTTGACCTTCTACGGCACTATCTTTCAGAGCATTGCCAAACTGAAAAAAAAAAAAGGTCCCCCAGATAATCAGTCTTTTATTTCTCTGTTATGGAGAACTCCTTTACTCAAAACAAGTGTAACAGACACCAGAAATAGCGTAATCCATTTTTAGGAAAGATGTAATATGACCAATATGCATGAAACCTTTATTGCATAGCGCTTCTCGAAGCAACATCAAAACACATATACATGTAAAAATAAAAGTAGTAACCTCTGCGTAGACGCCATAACTTCGTTATAAATGGACTGAAATATTTAAGCAATACGCACTATACGAACCAGACCAACACGAAATATTCGAAATGAAGGAGGGTATAGGCGTTACTCTAAAAAAAGAACAAAATAAAAACAAAAAAACTCAGCTTGCCTCCGCAAGGAAAAACGCAACCACAATAAACCTCGTTGGGCGAGAAAGCAAAACGGCAATTACACACACGACAGAGGCGCCCAGATTGAAAGAGAAACCGGAGCCGAACCGGCGCAAGAGGCTGCTTAGACAGCCGACCACCTGACAATTGGACCAGCCTTATTATGATCGTCACCCGACGGGCAAACTCTCGCACAACACGACAGCCACTGCAGCGACTCGTGGCGTGACGGAATTCAATTACGCGGCGGTCACTTAAAAAAAAAATAAAGTGCCATTAGCAAAGGCGCGACCGAACCAAAGGTGCGGCACCCGCTGCACTGCGACACTAGCGGGCATGTCAAGAGCGGGGCTCGGACAAAAGAAAACGTGAGAGCCTTCCTTTAGAGCCGGAAACGCACACATACATAACGTACGTAGAGAAATGACACGAGTACGGCCCGCACGAAAAGAGACCTCCTCTAAAGACCACCTCGGGCACAGCATCCCTTCCTTCCTCCTCACCAATGTCGTACACACACAGTCAGCACGCAGGAGAGAAGGTGAGAGGAGAGAGGGAGAGGATTATCCGAATCGGTCATCGGTCCCTAATAGAAACGAAGCGGGAAATTCGTTCCGGCTGGGAGCTAGTGACCAAACCCTAATTGCCGTGAGCGGCGCTTTCACGGAGGCCCCTACACAACATGCGACCGGGCTATGCGATGCGTGCGCGAGAGAAACAAATCGAATACGAATGATTAAAGAAAGAAAGAAAGCCCACGCGAGCGAAGCCAACGGCATGCTATGGGGGGCAACGCTTGGCAGCCGAATCCATCAAGCTAAGGACAATCGCCAACAAAGATCGTATTAAAAGGAAGCCGGAGATGGATTGGCCTGCCGCCTCGGCTGCCGAGCCTGCGGTCTATACGGTCGGAGGCCGCGCGCCTGACTGTCTATAGACCTGTTCCATGCTTGTGAACAGCGGTATAGGCACCGTCCACATACTGAGGCACTTATAGTTGCTCAATCGCTAATAAACTCGCACTCGATGCGACAGCCTACTTCAGTCCACTATTGGCGAGGCCTATATACTCGTCAACATCACCCAATTGCTTTAACACCCCATTTTGCACGAACTAACATATTCAAATATTCTTTTTTTTCCCGCGCACCGATAATGTTTGGAACAACTTATCTATGGGCGGAGCACCATGGTCATCCGACGCAAATGTGGGCACGGCCCGCAACTACGATTCTCTAGTTCCTTAGGACTTAAACAAAGTTTGTTGACTGACTGATTGACTAACGCATGTAAACGCTCTATAATTTTATTGTTTTGCACACCTGCATTGTTTAGCATGGGTTACTTAAAATGCATTTGCTTTTTTTAGGGTCTTTTTTACAGTTGTTTGCTCAGGACTGTGTAGTTCAGATTACCAGATTGCTTTACTTTTGTTGACTGATTGTGTTCTGCCAACCCTGCACGGACTTCGTGCCCGCAGTATGTATTAAAGAAACAAAACAAAAATAACGCCGTCGTCGCAGCGCGTATAGTCTCCGCCTAGTCCAAAGCTCGCCACCACCACCTACGACCACGTGACAACTGGCACGGCAGCTGCAAAGCTGGCGCTGTGCTCGGAGGCAGCTTTGAAGCCGCTGTGCCAGTTGTCACGTGATCATAGAGGGCGGTGGCAAGCTTTCGGCTTCACGGAGCCAACGCGCCACGACACGGAGGAAGGAAAGATAGGAAGGGCACCGTGGAGAGGGCATGCCCATAGAGTTTCCCAATAAACACTAAAGGGAACTGTGGCGCTAGTGTCTACGGGAGCTGCAATGCACGGCGCTTCAACGAGCATGGCAATGATGGGTAGTACACACATTTTTCTAATATTCGTACTTCTGGCCTGCTTCTGGCTCCGTGTGTGTTCGTGTGGCTTAGAGCTGTTTTCTCACGAAACAAAAAAATCAGCAAATGTTCAGCGGTTGTGCTTCACTACCTTATTTCTTTAAAGCTTGCCTTTTCAAATCAGATCACGAAGTTCAAAAGGGTTCACTTTTTTTCTTTAAAACGAAATCATAACCAGCAATAAACGAAGCCGCAAGTACGATTCGCCACCCGCAAGTACGAAGACTAGGCAAATGTGTGTACTACCCATCATTCCCACGGTCGCTGAACGATCGCAGCGCCAGAGTCCCCTCTAGTTAATTTTAGGAAACTCTTCGGGCATGCCCGGCCGGCGCGCTACGTGAAAAGTGTGGAGGAAACGACATAACGGCGGCCATGTTCACTGGGCGGCACAATGGCGGCGTTGCTATGGTTACGGGTTACGCCACGGAGGAACGTTTTTACTTCCTCCATGCGCCACGATGTCGCTGCAAGCGCCTGACTATGTCGACGGCGCCTATACCGCTGCTTACGAAGAATAAATAGAGCCTCGCAAATATAGGCAATACTACATAGACCCATTGTCGGTTCCCGCGCACCTCTCGCGTGCGAGAAAGATCGTTACGCGGCGCAGCCGATAGATCGTAAAATGCAGCCATCGCACGCTGTAAAACACGCCTCGCAGATGTGCCTGCGGGCCCGACAAGGGAGAGCCCGCGTTTTCCTCGATCGAGGCTACATCGCGAGGGAACCGGTGCCAACTCCATCATTGCCTTCCAATTGACGCGGCGCACAGTAAAACGTCGATGTATGAATATGCAAGCGTTACACGGCGACTGCAGCGGCCAACCTTCTTTTAAGGGGGCACTAATTGACTTTTGTTGCTGAGCCTTCTTTTCAATCAAGCTAAGTGATGTGCACCACGAGCCAAATTACCTTCGCTTATGCATACGCTCTCTGAACGCGAGGGCGCACTCCGCCGCGCATTGCGAACGAATCAATTTCCGTGTGCGCCCGCGTGCCACTGCTGCTCGAGTATATGCGAACCGGGGCAAACAACCAATCAAAGTTCGCAGAAACCTGCCGCGTGAACGACTATTAGAGATGCACGGGCATCGAGTTGAAGGACGCACGTGAGTTAAAGCTCGCCTCGTGCGAAATCCCACAAATGGCGTGTTCAAACGAGCCATTGAATATTTACGGTATACCATTCAGATTTTCTGAGGAATGGGATGTTTTGCCCATATCGGCTTCATGGCTATCATAAGAGACGGTCAATTGAAGTGGGCGTTTTAGACGGCGCCACGTTGACGTATACAGCGCGCACCTGTCAATTTGAGAACCTACAATCTATTGAGAAGAAAATAATGATTGCCTTCAATTTCGAGTCGTCTTAAGCAAATGCGTTAAGAGTATACGTGACTTCTTTCTCTCTATATATTTATCGACACATTAGCAAAGTCGCAGAACTAGACTAAATTCGTAAAAGTAGCGAAAAAAAAAATCAGGCGAGTTATCGGGAAGGCAATAATTACTAGTAAACGGCGGCAGAGGTGGAAGAAGAAAGTGGCTAGATATGAGGATTTAAAGCTATATATTGGCAGCTGCAGAATATACCACTGGTATACAGAGGGTCGTCGCCATATTTCGAGGCCAGTCGACATGCGAACGATTTCTGATGCCGTGTCAGCGCATACGTAGACCGTTCGCACACGTCCTTACATAAAATAAAACTTTGCACGTTACCATGGTAACGGGTTTCATAGGACCGAAATGAACAGGACAGATATCGGTGACTATACACAACACAACAGGAATTTATCTCCACCGGAAACTTGAATGAGGTTGTAAGTGAACTGCAAGCATGTAATACATTCCATAAATTGTCGGGCTCCACGCCAATTTGTGACCACGGGTCGCCGTTGGAAAAAGAAAAAATGGCCGCGTATTTGCGTGCTTCGCTGCAAATGTCGCCGAAAGACGATAGTCTTTTATCTGGAGGCGCTGCGTGA